CCTCTGATGCTGCTTGGCCTGCTGTGTTCATCCAGCTCTACACCGTGTTATCTAAAGAATCAATCTGATGAAATTTCAAAGTCCGCTTAACCATTGCAAATTGTGAGAGTAAAAAGTTGGAATAAGTATTTCAAAATCATTCCATTACCTTTTGTACAATTATATTTTTAAAGGTGCAGGATTAAAGATGTTTCACTACAGTTGCAGAAGTAATTCTGTCCCAATTATGTGTGTTTTTAATAATAACTTTTCTCTTTGTATAGATTATTCTTCAGAAGACATTATGCTGTCAACACAGTGATTTTCTGTGCCTTGGACCCAGAAGAAAGAACGTATGTGTTTGTGTTTGACATAATCTATGTTCTGATGCTTTAAAGTATTTGGATTGTGACAGAAGTTTGAGATTCTAATGGATGTTTTCTTTTCTCCCCTCCCTGCAAAAGATGGACAAAAGATAGCATCTCGGCAAAGTAAGCATTTGGAATCTAGAATTTTGTAGAACAGTTTAAAGTTAACTTGGCATTGCTTGTGTATAAAAACATGGATAATGTGCTTTTGTTTTGATAGAATCTTTGGATTTGTGGCAAGGAAACAAGGAAGTGCCACTGATAATGTGTGTCATCTGTTTGCCGAGCACGACCCTGAGCAGCCTGCCGGTGCTATTGTGAACTTTGTATCAAAGGTCATGATTGGATCACAAAAGAAGTAAATTGATTCTGATGCTGCCAAGCTCCACATTTGGGAGGATATCCCTATTTTTAAACAAAATTCAAAGATCAGAAAACTGCAGGATGACAATAATTTGGAACAACAATAGGTCATGTTTGGAAGGCTTGTATACGTTGAATGCTGGTAAGAGCAGGTTTGATTTATTTTAGAGAGGAGCAGGGATGTGAGTTTTAGAGAATAACTGGTCTTAGAACAGACTGTCAGAACTAAGACTATCAGACTGTCTGGCTTCTGTGATTATTCATTATCATTTGGTTGTATTTGTTGAGGTGAAGGGTCAATGCTTAGTTTTATTTTTTTACTGTCTTGAGCAGGAGGAAATAAAGCAGTTTTAGAAATAGACCAATCAGGAAAAATAAACACTAGTAATTTATATTTATTTGACTCATTATCCTGAATAGATGGCAGCTAATCTGATGATTGTATAATACAAATACATTTCAGTAAATGTGCTCAATCACAGTTTGGCTGTCAATTTTGTATTACTTGGTATTCTTGGAGGTGCATGCCATTCTATATTGTGTGCAACACCTTGTGTATCATTCCCAAATCACTGGCAGTTTAGTACAAGTAGGATAGATATTCAGGTTTATGTAGAATTATTTTGTATCACTGCAATTTTTTTACAAGTGATTAAATCTACACAACGATATACAGTTGGGTATGAAATTCTTGCCAAAGACATACCATTTAACCAGCACTTTGAGCTACCACATAAACGTAAATTCCTTCTACTCAATCTCTGTATCCTACCCAGTTGCTTCCAGTGTTAACTAATTGTGAAAATGCCAAACTTTAAGTATGAGTTTTCACTTTGACCAATAATTTGTATTATCAAAAGTTATCATTTTATCCATGTCTGCTTTGGCTAGTCTGTATTTTGTAGTATTCTTCTAAGCATTCTGTAAAAAAAAAACTTGTACTCATTATGTAAATGAATTATGTTCTATAATTCTTTGTATAGTCCTTTTCCATTCTTTGAAACACAATCTATTAAAATTATACTAAGTACAATAGATTTTAGTTTCTGCTTTCACTTGTTCATGGTGTGAGTCACACAAAATAAAAGAATTTATAAATAAACAGTTTATAGCAATGGTTTAGATTTGAGTTCCATTTAAATTATTTCTTCCTCCACAAGCTATTGATTCCGGGATGACCAAGTAACTTAACTTGCTGACACTTCAGGTGGTCTGTTAAGTTTCGTGATAGTCTGACTGTTGAAATATTAAAATCCACATAGTCAAAGGTAACACAATCTTAAAGTATGCGACTTTATCTTCTACTTCATAGCAGTATTAAAACTGCAGAGTTGGGACATGACCTGTGTTGTCTGATTAGCCCCAATAGGTGGAAACTTCACTTTGCTTGGGTGTTGATACCACACAGAATGAAATTGTACTGGAATATCGAGCTGCATTTAGAATAAGCCTAAGCTCAGCCAGCTGTCCTCAAACTCAGAACAGAGCCCTCCTTGAGCTGTTCATGGATTCAAACCCAAATCTGAACGATGCCTGGTGTAGTCAAGATGCTCAAATTACTTCTTGAATGTGGAAGTGACAGGAATGAATGACAAAAATGTTTTCTTTGAAAAGGCTATATTATGTTTGTAGCCCTCCGTGCAGCCTTGAAGTGCAGTTCCCATGATCTATTAAATGGGTGAACATTTGCTAAATGTACCGTGACTAACATTTCTGGGACAGGACAATTGGAATTGTCCAGCCTCCAGACTCTCGTCTCAGCATGGGGTGTGGCACCAGCAGCACCACACAGAGACAGCTATGTCCACCAGCTCCCAGGTGTGCAGTTACAGCTGACCATCTAGCCAATACATTAGCTGAATGTGAAAAATACGGTATAAATGCAAAATTAAATTTGCTTGTACCAGTGGTATTGCTGTATTAGAAGTGCAGATAATGGTATGTGGTTATTCAGCCAATCTTCACCTGTCCACATATCACCCACTCCTGTGACTTCTACCCTCTGTAAATACTGCTTGTAATCAGAAACAGAAACAATCTTATCCAAGTAAAATTATGAGCCATACGTAACAGGAATTTTAAGTATGTCCTGAGCAGAGACAGTAATTTTTAAATAAAAATTTGAGCTCCCAGTTCTTAACATGAATTTCCACACAAGATTTCATGTTTTAAACCAAAAGATCTTTTGTTCTTTTGTTCTTCTACTGTTAAAGAGAACAAAAGAGAAGTACAGCACAGGAACAGACTCTTTGGCTGTGGAAGCTTGTGCCTTTCATCATGCCCTGACTAAACTTAAAAAAAAAACCTTCTGCCCTTATTTGGTCTGAATGCCTCTATTCCCACCCTATTTATGTAACCATCCAGATGCCTCTTCAATGTTGCCAATGTGCCCGCTTCTAGCACATCTTCTGGCAGTGTGTTCCAGGCTCCTACCAATCTGCGTGAAAAACCTCCCTCGCACATCTCCCTTAAACTTTCCCTCTCTCACCTTAAACCTGTACCCCATCGTAATGAAACTTCAGCCCTGGAAAAAAGCCCCTGACTATCCATCCTATCTATTTGTTTCATAATTTTGTAGACCTCGATCAGGTCTCCTCTCAGCCACCATCTTTCCAGTGAAAACAATCCTAGTCATTTCTATCTCCTTCCCAAAACCTACAAATCTGACTGCCCTGGTCGACCCATTGTCTCCGCCTGCTGCTGCCCCACCGAACTTATCTCCACTTATCTCAACTCCATTTCCTCCCCCTTGGTCCAGGAACTCCCCACCTATGTCCGTGACACCACCCACGCCCTCCACCTCCTCCAAAACTTCCAATTCCCTGGTCTCCAGCACTTCATCTTTACCATGGACATCCAGTCCCTATACACTCGCATTCCCCATGCAGATGGCCTAAAGGCCCTCCGCTTCTTCCTGTCCCACAGGCCCGACCAGTCCCCCTCCACTGACACCCTTATCTGCATAGCTGAACTCATCCTCACCCTCAACAACTTCTTCAACTCCTCCCACCTCCTACAGACAAAGTGGGTGGCCGTGGATACCCGCATGGGCCCAAGCTATTCCTGCCTCTTTGTAGGATATGTGAAACAATCCCTCGTCCGAAGCTACACTGGCCCTATCCCCCACCTCCTTCCTCCGTTACATCGATGACTGTATTGGCGCCGCCTCGTGCTCCCACGAGGAGCTCAAACAGTTCATCCACTTCACTAACACCTTCCACCCCAACCTTAAGTTCACCTGGACCATCTCCGATACCTCTCTCTCCTTCCTGGACCTCTCTGTTTCCATCTCTGGCAACCACCTGGAAACCGATATCCATTTCAAGCCTACCGATTCCCACAGCTAACTAGAATACACCTCCTCCCACCTACCTTCCTGCAAAAATGCCATCCCCTATTCCCAATTCCCAATTCCTTCGCCTCTGCCGCATCTGCTCCCAAGATGAGGCATTCCACTCCCAGACATCCCAGATGTCCTCGTTTTTCAAGGACCGCAACTTCCCCTCCACAGTGGTCGAAAACGCCCTCGACTGTGTCTCTCGCATTTCCCACAACTCATCCCTCACACCCCCTCCCCACAATAACAACCAAAACAGAATCCCCCTCATCCTCACATACCACCCCACCAACCTTTGGATCCAACGCATGATCCTCCGACACTTCCGCTATGTGCAATCTGACCCCACTACCAAAGACATTTTTTCCCTCCCCACCCTTATCTGCCTTCCGGAGGGAGCACTCTCTCCGTGTCTCCCTCATCCGCTCCACACTCCCCTCCAGCCCCACCACCCCTGGCACTTTTCCCTGCAAGCACAAGAAGTGCTACACCTGCCCCTACACCTCCCCCCTCAACCCCATCCCAGGCCCCAAGAAAACCTTTCACATCAAACAGATGTTCACCTGCACATCTGCTAATGTGGTATACTGTATCCGCTGTTCCCGATGTGGCCTCCTCTACCTTGGGGAAACCAAGCGGATGCTTGGAGACCGCTTTGTGGAACACCTACGCTCAGTTCGCTACAAATGACTACACCTCCCAGTCGCGAATCACTTCAACTCCCCCCCCCACTCCTTGGACAACATATCCATCCTGGGCCTCCTCCAGTGCCACATCGATGCCACCCAAAGGTTGCAGGAACAACACCTCATATTTTGCTTGGGAACCCTGCAGCCCAATGGTATCAATGTGGACTTCACAAGCTTCAAAATTTCCCCTCCCCCAACCGCATCCCAAAACCAGTCCAGCTCGTCCCCGCCTCTTAACCTGTCCTTCCTCCCACCTAGACCCTCCTCCCACCTCAAGCCCCACCCCCATCTCCTACCTACTAGCCTCATCCTGCCCCCTTGACCTGTCCGTCTTCCCTGGACTGACCTATCCCCTCCCTAACTCCCCACCTACGCTCACCTTTACTGGCTCCACCCCCGCCTCTTTGACCTGTCCGTCTCCTCTCCACCTATCTTCTCCTTTATCCATCTTCTATCTGCCTCCCCCTCTCTCCCCATTTATTTCAGAATCCCATTCCCCTCCCCCATTTCTGAAGAAGGGTCCAGACCCAAAACATCAGCTTTCCTGCTCCTCTGCTGCTTGGCCTGCTGTGTTCATCCAGCTCTACACCTTGTTATCTCAGATTCTCCAGCATCGGCAGTTCCTACTAACTCTCCTGGTCTTTTAAACCTTTCTTCATAGTCAATGCCCTCGAGACCAGGCAACATCCTGGTGAACCGGCTCTGTACTCCCTCCAAAGTTTCCACATCCTTCTGGTAGTGAGGTGACCAAAACTGACACAATACTCCAAATGCGGTCTAACAAGGGTTTTATATTGCTGTAACCTGATTTGCCAACTCTTGTACTCCATGCCCTGGCCGATGAAGGCAAGCATGCTGTATGCCTTCTTAAACATCTTGGCATACGTGTTGCCACTTGTAGGGAACTATGGTCCTGCATGCCCAGATCCATCTATCTGTTAATGTTCCTAAGGTTTCTGTCATTTACAGTATAATTTACTCCTAAATTTGATCCTCCAAAATGCATCACCTCGCATTTGTCAGGATTAAACTCCATCTGCCATTTCTGTGCCCAAGTTGTTAAACAATCCATATCCTGTTTTATCCTTTCACAATCGTTGGCACTATCAGCAACTCTACTAATCTTCGTGTCATCTGCAAGCTTGCTGATCAGACCACCCACATTTTTCTCTAGATCATTTATAGATACTATAAACAACAGAAGACCTAAGACTGATCCCAGTGGAACACCACTAGTTACCGGTCTCCATCCTGAAAAACACCCTTCCACTGCTACCCTTTGTCTTCTATGACCTAGCCATTTTAGTATCCATCTAGCCAGCCCACCCCGAATCCCATGTGATTTCAGTTTTTGTACCAACCTGCCACGTGGGACTTTATGAAATGCCTTACTAGAGTCCATATAAACGACACCTCATGCACCACAATCCAAGAGCACTGCAATACCATGCTTGTGCGCTCACCAGTGATGCAAGTACTCATCATTGTGGGAATCTCCCAGGAAGTCCAACTGTGCAATGGATAAAATGCTGCTAGTCAGGAATAGTCCTTATTGGTATACATGGTGGGAGAGAAATGAAAAATACATTTCTGAGGGCACAGTGATGGCACAGCTGCTACTTCATTGGAAGTAGAATCTCACATTTGCCTCTTTACATTATTACCTGTCTGATCGACTTTTCGTACCAGTATCTGCGAGGATGAAGCTACACAGGAGACCCATTCTTAACTCCATACAATGTTAGAACCTTGGCTGAAGTGTCCTAATGCTCAGTTTAATGTGGGAGCAACACATGTTGGAAAGCCGATTGAAAAGGTTCACTATTATTGAGCAACAGGAAAAGCAAGGAGAAAAGAATTTTTTTAAAAAGGCCGCATTCGCTTGTGGGGATAAAAAGGACTGTTGTCTTTTGAGAAACGACACAGTTAACAGCAATCCTTGCACCCAACTCTGAACTCTTGAAAGCAGATGTCAATTGAGTCCTGTCTGAGTGGTTGCTCCTGACC